ACCGAGGAAACAAGATTCTGGAAATGAGTGCGGCCCTGATGGCTTCTCTCTTGAGCGTGAAAGGTTGCAATCAGCATTTATTCCCGGGACAATTGACTCCGAATTTTAACGGCTCCCGCTGTGATGGGCCGGCGACGGAAACACGACACCCGGGGGCTGATTCCCCCCCTTTGTCCCCCCCCACCCTTTGTTCCCGGAAAGTATGGACTTTTAGTAAACGTCGACTCAGAAACACACACACATGTGCCTTTTCTGCTGCGGCTGTTTTTCGACACGAAGAAGAGAGAAGTCACAGCAGCAAGCCTCCGTTTTGAGAGTCGCCCGGTGCCTTTCCTGTCACACAGTGATCTCTCCAACGACATCATCACCTCCCCCCCCGGCCCCCCGGCCCCCCGGCTCGGCCGGAGCGCCGGAAAGCTGTGAGATTGTTTTGACGCGTCCTCGGAGGGGGGGGGGGAGGCTGACGGGCGGCCACGAGCCCCGGAGCTCAACCACGTCACACAGCGGCGAAGATTCCTCTCAGAGAGGTTCATCACAGTGTAGCGCTCCATTTTTCCGTCTTCCACGGGACAATTAACCCTCTTCTCTCGGTGTGTCTCTATGTGCCACTCCCTTTGTGTTCCAGAGGTGCTGTGTGGGGGACACAAGGTGGAGGAGAGGCGGAGGAGGTGGAGGGGGAAGGAAGAAGTGATGTTTCATCATGTTAAACCGGCTCTATGAGCCTTTTTGTGCAGTGCTATACAATATCCTGTCTGCTTTAAACACCATCATCCCATCTCAGCTGCACCGCCCGACTCCACCTGCAAGTGGATCACTGACTTCCTGTCCGACAGGAAGCAGCGCGTGAAGCTGGAGAAACATCTCTCGGCGCCGGTTCCCCCCCAAGGCTGCGTTCTCTCCCCTCTGCTCTTCTCCCTGTACACGTCCAGCCAGCCGGATCTCTACCTCTCCCTCAAGCGTGGATTCTATCTACCGCACCGCCCCTGCCGCCTGGACCCCTGTGCCTCTCTGCCTCTCCAGCATCTTCCCCGGCCACGGATCCCGAACTAAGTCCCTCTGCTGCCAAAAATAAAATCTTTTATTTCTCTGAATCCCGCTTTTGAGTCCAACCCTCGTTCTGGCTATCACCCCATGACAGGTTGTGGACTTCAAGAAGAACCCACCTCCTTCCTGTGAGACCCCCGCGCCACGTCCTGTCACGTCCCGTCACGTAACGTCTGCGCCACCCTTGTCTGTCTTGTTGTCCATTGTCTTACTGTCTGATGTTACGCACCAATCAGAAATATTATAGTAATAAATGTTCCTGATTCCTGATACCAAAAAATAACGGACAGAAATTCTACACAACAATTGTATTATTAATACAATATATTATTATTATTAATATATTTTCCTCTGTTTCCTCCCTTTGTGTTTCCTGTTCCATCATCAGTAACTCAGAAACAGATAAAAAAGAAAACTATACTTTTTTTGTGTTCAGTGATCTTAAACGTGAAAAAGACGCACATCCTGATTTTGTTGGAAAAAAGGTCGTCGCCTTTTGTCGTTTATCTTCACGGCTTTAGATCTCATGACAGCACCTGTCTGCAATAAAACCACGACGGCTGGAAAATACGGACTTAATCAAATGTTGAATCTGTCCAGACGAAGTACATCTCGTATACGTTTGGGTGGACTTAGTCGCAGGAACCTCGAGGGCGCCGTTCCTTGCACTGAAACAACTTTGTTCAGACAAACAAGCACACTCAGGAAGAGCAACGCTTTCTCGTAGACAGCCGAGCTGAACAAGAGCCCGACGTGTCCCCTCTGATGTTTGGTCTTCTACACATCCATCCACGGGGACGTGGCCCAGCCGAAGCCTCTATTACCAAATGGCCGTTTGGAGTTAATCGAACTGAAGGAGGCAGCCAGCGTGTTCAAGTCTCGGGCAGCTGACGTTCGTCAATACTGCCACCGGAGACATTAGCAAAGACGTTTACCCTTCACTTCTCTCCCCCCTCTACCACCCTCTCCCCCTCACTCATTCCCTCTAACGTTCCTCTCCTCGTTTTCATCCTTCCCACTTATGCCTCATCGCCCGTCACCCCCGGTTTCCTCAGGTGTTTTTTACATGTGGCGGGAGGAGTGGCTACTTTTTAAACTGACACATCTGTGGTTGCACAGTAAAGGCCCTTGATGGGGGGGGTCGTGAAATTCTGCCCCGCATATGCACACGCCTCATATGCATTTAAATAGATCCCCATAAAGGAGCTTACGCTGGGACCGAGATTGGACGGGAGGACGGGCGGATGGATGGAAGGACGGACAAAGAGACAGAGAGGTAGTTGAGATGAGGAAGGTAAAATGCTGTTAAATGACCCCCCCCCCCCCCCTCCATTTCCATAAAGCATTGGAATGTGATGATTGATGGCGGCGGCGAGGCGTTGAACGGCGGATGGGAGATGTGTGCAGCGAGGGGGAACAGAAGGAGATTCCATTTCAGATCTGCCCTCGTCTGAAGCACGGCGGCGCTCTAATATGTAGATTGTGTTTAGCCTTTATCTTCTGCAGCGGCGTGAGATGGGGGGGGGCACTAACGCACAGACGCACACCAACGGCCCTTTAAAGCCGCGTGCGCATGGCCTTCACGCAACGCATGTTTGTTGAAATAACCTGTAATATTCATGATGATCTTTATTCGTTGAGGTTGTGATGTTTGTTTGGATATTTATTGATCTGTCAACGTTTCCTCGCGCTGCATTCGTTGTGATATCTTAAGATATCTTTTGTGCGCTGCAGCAACTCGTCGCGTTAACATCAAGACAGACGTGGCGTTACTTTGTGTGCAGGTAGGAAGTCACGTGAGTTTTGAAAGATTGGATTTTATTTTAAAGAAGAAAACTCAGAACAGCTGGACGGAGGGACTTCCTTCTCTTCCAGATGTTTGTGCTCATGCCCTCATGGCACAAACAGCTGCTGTGTGGAGCCCGTCAGCCTCGTCCACGGAGGACTTCAAGGAACCCGGGAAAGGTTGAGGGACCTTTTTACGGACAAAATAAGTAATCAGCAATAAAAACTCCTCCTCCTTCCTCTTTTTCCAGCTGTGTTCTTACTTTGCTGCCTTGCAAAATGACCTTCGCCTTTCCTGCTTACAGTCAGCTGACTGAGGGTGTTCAAACTCTCCAGCTCAACCAATCACAAAAAAACGAATGAGTTTGGGACGGGGACCTTTCAGTCGACCCTTCGGGGTCCTGGTCTTTGAATGCAGTCCTGTGTCTTCCAACGTAGGTTTATTCCGTTTTTTAAGTCGACCTGGAAGCAACAAAAGGAAAAGACTTTGGTCGAGAATCGGTGTTTGTTTGCGACGTTTGTCGGGTGACTTTGATCGGCCGGTGTCCAACAACACAAAAACACCTAAAGTGTAAACTTTTCAAGGTGCGTTGATACATTCCGGAGTCTGGAGTAACGCCTGTTCTCCACGTGGAAGCGCCTCTCTCAACGGATCACACACGTCTGTGCAAAATGTCAACCCGCGCATGCAGCTGAGCCTCGACACACAGAGCCGCGCTTCCCCCGAGCTTCTCATCCGCCTCCTCGCTCCGTTCTTTTATTCATCGCCCCGCTCCTTCGCCTGGGAGGGGAGGTCTAAACGCCCGGAGACGACGGAGGGATTTCGGGTTGTCAAGGGAGGGAGGGATGTGAATAATAGATCACAGAGGGGAAGAGAAAGAGGTGGGGGGGGGGTCGAGAGGATGAGGGAGGTATAAAAGGTGCACGCAGAAACAGATATGAAGACGCTGTGGAAGGAAGACGGATTGGCCCAAGCAGTCCGGGGGGACGCACGGGACCCAGGAGGACGAAGACAGCAGGATTGCTTCCATCCATAAAAGTCCCACATCGGTCCCTCCATCCATCTGCCCCCCCCCGCCTCCTTCTCCGTCTCTTCCCAGCTTTCAAGTGTGGTCAGGAGCCGTTGCATAAGACGGCGATTCATCTTTTATTGAGACGGGAAGATTCCATAAATATGTCTACCTTGTTCTCTGGAGTGTAAACGCTGAACCTGTATTCCAGCTAAAGGAATAAAGGAGATAATTATACAGTAAGAGCTTCCTCCGTCCTGGAACCGCTCACAGACGCTTCATTGTTGCGCCATTTGTATTTTACACCACTTCAATCAAAGGTTGACTGACGTGTCAACAATTAAGCGTCGCTGCCCATGATGATGCAACCACGCTGTCAATGTCAGCTGCTGCTGCTACGCTCAGCAGGGTGCGGGGGGGCACCAGGCCGACTACACGAGAGCCACACGAAAAGCACCAGGAAAGCCCCCCCGCATCACCCCATCGCCCCTATCAGCCGCCCCAATGTCTAAACCCTGGTTACGCGCTTACCCTGATGTTCCATTTAGCTTATTTGCAAATGTTCAAACTGTCTGAGACTCAGAAACGATTAAAGGAAAGAACTCCAATGAACTGTTTATAAGTTGTATTTACTTGTTTATGCCATAAGAGTCCATCACGTGCTACAGCGCGTCACGGTAAGCGTCCAGCGTGCACAGCCATGCCTTCCAGTTAGCTCACCTCCCACTGGCTGATTTTGCATTTTGTCCACGTAATCGTGGGTGAGGAGGTCGTCTCTTTAACCCCGAAAGACAGTTTGTTTAGAAAAGAAAGATGAATGTAGAAATAAGAGAATTAAATGAGGAATAACACAGGATGTCAGAGGTCTGACGATCCGAAATATGTCGTTGACTTCTGTGAAATTAAGGCACATTTTTTAGAACGTTTCAGCCACGATGTTGGTTCATCACCACAGGACCTTTGGTCTCACCGAATTTATGAAGATTACATCTTGATAATTATTTATAATATTTACAATCAGCCCTTTTGGTGATCAGCAGAAAGTAACCACGCTGTGTGGATTTAACGAAAGATGTCCTCCGGTCTCTGCGTCCACGCGACAATTTACCCTCTACATCAGCAGAACGAGGACGGCGTAAGACAGGGAGTCTTGTTCCTTACCTGAGCAGATCAATTTCATCAGCATGAACCCCGCTGTTCACAAGGTCTCCTATTGGCACATCTCAGCAGGCAGGAAGCCAACGTCAAGCGGTCCGCCGCTGCATCCGCCGCTGCATCCGCCGCTGCATCCGCGCCCGCCGAGAGACAGCAGAGGGACGTCAGCACATCGGGGGAGCAGAACGAGGGACAAGTCACAACCTCCAAGCCCGGCTGGTTATAAAGCCCCGGGCAGTGTGTCTGTGTGTGTGTGTGTGTGTGTGTGTGTGTGTGTGTGTGTGTGTGTGTGTGTGTGTTCAATGCTCTTTCCGGAACATGGTCACAGGGTTTAAATGTTCTAATCAATACCTTGATCGCACACACACACAAACACACACACACACATTTATACATTGTAAGCAAATATTATTCTACAAAAGCGTAGAAATAAGAACTAATGAATGACGGTTTTCGATGTTCTTTCTCTGGTCAAACTCGTTCTTATTTCGTGTCTCGTCGTCCTTCAACCCCCCCTGAACCTCGCCTGCACTCCTCCATGCTTGTTTCACTGCTCTGTGACTGCGTTTTGTGTCATTTGACATCGTAATCACGGTTCAGATATTCTTATTTAGGACACACAGCGGTGAACGAGCCCCACACGTTGTGTTTTGGAATTTATCCACCCGATGAAGCGGTTTGATGAGGCAGGTGGATGAGGGTTAGCAAGGTGGGGGCTTGTGGATAAAGAGCATTGTTACATTGTTAAACTTTAATATACAACTAAATGTTGAATACTGAACCAGTTTACTTTGGGTTTTTTACACCTTCACGTCTTTACATTGATTCGTTCTTCGCTGAGGTTGATTGTAGGGCTGCAACAACGAATCGATAAAATCGGTAAATTATTAAAAGCGTTGGCAACGAATTTCATTATCGATTCGTTGTGTCGCGCGATTATTACGCCACTCAATGAGTTGCGGAGATGCGCGCCGAGCAAAAATAAAAGTCCGTTCGACTAGTCGTCTAAGGTGTGCGAGCGTGGGGGGGGTCCCGGTCCACGTGGTCCCGTTTTTGGGTCCCGTTTTGACGTGAGGGACGTAACGAGCCTCCTGTTTACTCGTCATCCAGCTGGTCAAGCTAGCGTTAGCTCGCTAATAACAGCAGTAAAGCAGTTAGCAAGACTAAGACACGTTTTTACTTACTCGCCTCTTTTGGACCGTTCATTTTTCAATGTGTTGTCTGATATTTTGTGCTTTGTCCCATATCGGTTATTGTTGACAAATATATTTGTGTGTGTTGTAATTTTTAATGCTGTCATTACGGTAGTCCAGTGCGCTTGCTCGTATACTGTGGGTTATACGGTAGTTGATGTTACGCCTGTAAAGGGAGACACACGGTGATCCATTAAATCAACTAAGAAGCCTCTAATGCATTTATTTACAAATGCCACTTTAAATTCATCTCATAGCACTTGGTTGTTTTTTAGCTGTATGCATTTACTTAACTTGCACTACAATGATGGTAATAATTTAATGAATATGCTCCAAGTGAACATGAGGGTGTGTCTGTGAGTGTAGTATAGAGAACTAGTTCTGATGAATTTGAGGTTCTGTTTTAGAATAAAGGGTTGGAAATTAAAGCTTTTTAATGCCGTTTTAAAAAAAATCCGATTCATCGATTAATCGAAGAAATAATCGACCGATTAATCGATTATCAAAATAATCGTTAGTTGCAGCCCTAGTTGATTGGACCAGGTGAGCGTGAGGAGAAACATCCGGACTCGTGTTGTTTAGAATTCACCACAGGTTTTTTTTTTATTAACGTCCCACTGTGGGGTTTATTTATGCAGGACAAGCTAACTGGAATTATACAAAAGCAAAACATTCTACTTATAATTGTTCACAACTTCCTGTTGATGTTCTTGTCAGAATTTAGCTTTTCTTTTTTAGTTTTGTGGCGTTTTTTCTCCTCCTGAGCGCGTTTGTCTCAGAGATCGTCACCAGAGCGCCGCTGAGACGGAGTGAAGCCGCTCAGAGGCGCCAAGCGCTGTCCGTCACTGTCGAGTCACGGCGATGAGATGTCACGCTCCACGGCCTCTAATGCTGACAGATCATGGATGCTGTGTACAATCTAATCCCACACTTCCTGTGTGTGTGTGTGTGTGTGTGTGACTCATGTGGACCCACAGTGCATTCTGCTTTGTTGTTACATAAGTGTCCCTGTTCACACAGACAGATATTAGAGACAACACACTCTGCCAGCTAGACTGAACTATCTCCCTCTCACACACACACACACACACACACACACACACGCACAAACTACAGTACAAGACTGGCGTGAGAACAACCCAGTGTGTGTGTGCATGTGTGTGTGATGGAGTGAAATAACAGAACTCAAAGGACTTTCAGACTTTCCGACTTTGCAATGCAGGAAGAAGTGAAGCTAAAGAGGAAGAGTGGAAACACCTCTCACCTCCATTTATAAAAAATAAATAATAAAATGATGTTTGTTCAGAGGCCATATTTGTTCATTCTGGTAAATATTAAAGTACTGTGCCTAAAAAACTGAAAAGCAACGAGGTTGAGTTTTTATAACGTTAGAATTATTTAATTTAACTACTATAAATTAATTCCATTAATCCCAAACAGCATCTTAAAACAAGTAATGACGGGGAAATATCTTCAAATTATGTCAAGAAATAAAGGCAAAAACAGTTAACCATGAAACCTACAGCATAAATAAAGATGTAAAACATTCTGCTTCACTTGATTCATTCCCTTGAAATAATACGGACCAGGGATCTAAAGGCTCGGACGCAGTTTGATGATAAGAGTGATATCGTTTCTCTTGCTTTTGGCCGCCTGCAGGAGTTTGCTGCCAATTTCTCCCAATTTCATTTAAACGTCCTCAGAGAGAGTCTGGTTTGAGATAAAAGCAGCGGCTATTTTAACCTCAACAACTATCCTTTCCTGAACATAAGTACTTTGTTGCCTAAACCTCACTAAGTAACTCATGCATAGACATAACTGAGGTTTATTTTGAAAGGACGTTTCCATGCAGCTGAAGCACATTGAGACGCGTTGCAGCCAAAAGTACAAAACTCCAGATAACTTTGGACAATGTCATGAAAGTGGTGTTGGAGAATATGTTGAAGATGGAGTTTAAGTTTCCCAATTGAATCAAAGGAGTCATTTATATCCATATGCGCCGGGCTGAAGTCGAAGGGCCTCTTGTCGAGTTGACCTTCGCGGCCGGGAGGAGACAGGAGGCATCAGACCTGCAGACCCGATTCTGAGCGGCTCCTCACTTCAAACTGTCCGCCGCTGCAGAGCTTTTACAAGGAGAACCCGCGTCTTCAGACGTGACAGCGGCGACCACGCTGGCCATTTTATCTCCATCCATCCACTGGGTTTGTATCCTGTATCTGAGTGGTTTGGGTTTCCTCTCTTTTATGTAACTCAAGTAACCGACGAGGAAAGAACCTTCTCTGCTCTGTTGCTTTTGGGGCTTCTGCACTTCGGCGCGTTGAAGTGAGCGGGAGAGAGGATCACTACAGAACGCCTTCTAAAAGCCCCACGGGGACCTGCAGTGTGTTTTAGTAAATTCGCTTCTAACGGCGCCACAGTGAAATGGGTCGATGGCGGAAGCGATGTGATTTCGTATAACACGACTCGTTGGAGAGCGTTTATTCACATTCACGCCGCTTTGTGAATGTAACGGGCTCCTTGTCTGGGAATCAGTCCAATCAGCTCATTTAGGTTAAAGTAGTGAAGCAGACATTTAGAAGTCATTTCCCAGTTACACATTCATGAGTTAATGCAGGTAAAAGCACACAACTATAAAACTACAGTGTCATTGTCGTGTTGCAGCAGGTCCAGCTGATTGTATCTACTTTATTTACAGTCGATGCGCGTCTGACATGTATGTAAGCGGTGTTCATTGGTGTGTATTAGTGCAGTAAGTCTTTCTGCCTTTAGGGTGGCAGTGGTGGAAGCACGCAGTGCACAATCAGCCGAATGAACTTGACCTACAGTGTTTTTCTCCGCCGCGCGGAACGTTGCAGGATATCACGGTGCTGCTGAGCGTCAGCGACGAAAGAAACGAGCCGCCTACCTGCAGGAAGGAGTCCGCGCGCCGCCACCGGTCCTCTCATCAGCACCTCCGCGGCGCATCGCGACGGCGACTACGTCCCGGTGCGATGGACCGGTCCGGAGGTCCTCCCCCTCTCGCTCCCTTCCTCTCCCTCTCTCTCTCTCTCTCTCTCCCTCCCTCTCCCTCTCTCGGGACTTGACCCACCTCCTCAGAATAGCACCTCGTTAAACTCCCGGCTGATACGCATGCGATTTTGCGTGCACGACGGTCAACACCGAGTGCGAGGCGTCCTCCCCCCCGGGCGGTCCCGTCCCCACAGCTCCTCCTCGTCACCCTCCTCATCCTCATCAGCATCACCCTCATCAGCATCCTCGTCACAGTCGCTGAGTTATCTTCTCTTCTCCCTCTATGACCCCCCCCCCTCTGTCGAAAGCATCAACATTACCTCGAGCTCTCGTCTGCCCCCCCGTGAATCTCCTCCTCGCCGAGTCTCTGTCCCGCAGCTCGGTTCTGAGTGTGTGTGATGCTTCGTCCATCTGCAACGACGACACACACACACACACACACACACACACACACACACACACACACACACACACACACTCCCTACACGTCGCATTAAGAAATCACCCCGGAGCTACAAGTCTGAACATCACTGAAGTGTGAACATCAAATTAACACCTCGAATGGATCATGTGTGTTTTTAGCCCGCGAGCTGCTGTATAAAGTAACGAGACTCTCACCACACAAAATAAACAAGAAGTATGAAAGATAAAAACAAAGACAAGCAAACGTCATCAACATACTAACTATTAGGAACTCGTGCAGTTAAATGCAGCACACCGCATTCATTAATCCAGTGATGTATTTAAAGGGGACATATTTGGGCTTTAGAACGCCCCGCCTCCAATAAAAAGCCTGGTCTGCTCTGATTGGCTGGTGAGAACGACACGGCGCACCTTTGCAAAGGTCAATCGACGGGGTCGTGGTGGCGCAGGGGTACAGAGGGTGCGATGGGTTCGAGCCCCGGCTGCCCCCTGTCGTAGTGTCCCTGAGCAAGACACCTGACCAATTGCTCCCCGGGCAAAAAACTGTAGAAAGCCATCGGTTACAGATGTAATCAGCTAAATGACCTGTTATGTTAATGGTTATCTACTGACAAACTTGCTTTATATTATTGTTTGTTATATATTTTAATTTATAAATCCCCCTCCACTATGTATTAGGAGAAAATGCGAAAAAGTCTGTAAATATCTACTTTTCAGGTTTAAAAGTCGCAGCATCAAATTGCGCCACGTTTCTAAATCTAAATCATCTAGAATGATTCTAGAAGGGAAAAGAAGTTAAAGTTTTTTTCACTGATCTCAAATTCCCACCTTGCATTTGTTTTTCATTTTGAACAACACCAAGTGACATGGCAATATTATTCAAATGTAAAACTTCAACCTTCGTTTCTCTATTCTTAAACAAATTCCGTTGCAGAACATCGTGAGACAGATGAAAAGATTTTGTTTGCTTCACTGACTGAACCGCAATGAATTTCAGTTTTACAGATTATTAAAATGAGATATTTGTTCACACGGAGCGATGGAATAAACGGCATGTGGGTGCACTTCGTGCTCTGGACCACAGGGGGGCGGCAGAGGCCTGTCGGCTTTTAGCTGTCAATTGGACATTTTGACATGTGTTTTTTTTCAGACTGACTTTTGGACAGAACATTCTGTGACCGTTAGATGTTTGTCTCATGACTCGTTGGAAATCTTTCTTTCATTCCCACGATATTTATTTCATGAAGCATGAATATACAATTTAACATTTTTCATTAGAAATTGTGTTTAATCAACTGTTAGAATGTGAATCATGAGCATTATTTTGACTTTAATAAAAGTCCACGTCAGCTGTTCTGACTCTTTTCCTGCACGTGGAACTTTCTCATGATTGTGAGTTATGAAGTATATTAATTAACACAATGTGACAGTCAAACAAATTCCAGACTTTCCCCCACGAGACCTCCGTTCATGTCCAGCGACCGACCACAAATATATTGACTTATTTTAATTGTCTGTAACTTTACTCCTTTCATTTTTTTCCAACGTTCTCCACATGTTTAAAACCACACTAACAATCGTGAATCAAAAGCTTTTTCCCTTCAAAAGTTCTCTAGAAGGCAGTTTTGTCGGCCTCCTGTGTATCGTTATGTGAGCCGGTCTGGTAAGGCCACGTTGTTCTGTTGCATTGTTGCATGTTTCCACACAAACATAAGCTTTGTCCAACGTTAACCACGCGGCGTTGTGCGTTTCTGCACGCGGGACACGAGGCTCAAACGCGTTCATTAAAGGTCGACGTTAAAGCATCCTGCAGAAACCAACGGCAACATTTCAAACCGGCAGCGGGATCCTCCCGCGGAGGAAAGAGCCCCCCCCCCCCCGGCGCCCCCCCTCACATTGTCGTGAAGCAGACAGGACGTTGCCCAAGCAGCAGCAGCCATTGTTAAGGTCGCCCTTTGTGTTTACGTTGTTGCGTTTGTGTCACAGCAGCTGATGAATCGTCTCCACGATCGCCTACAACCTGCCGGCCGTCTTCCTCTCGATACATTCCAGCTGTGTCAGACCTGGGGGAGTAAGGAGAGGGGGGGGTGCACATCTGCTCCTGCTCCGGGCCTTTTGTGCTCGGTTGTGTTTGTCAGTGTGTCCCTGAGATGTTTGATGCAGCTCTGCTTTTGTGATGGTTGACTGCAGTGCTTTCGTAACCCGAGATGGAGGACCGGGCCTTTTTCCGTTGGGGCATCCCTACGGAGCCGGGGGGGGGGGTGGGGGGGGGGTAAGGGCATTTGTGTAATCGACTTAAGCGTAGGCAACTGAACCCTCTGAATCTGGACGGGCCGTCCCTCCTGGCCTCGATAACAAAGGCAGAAACACATCTGCTCCGAACCAGAGAAACCCAAACGATGAATCCTGATGTGGCGTTCGAGGCCGGGACCCCGGGAGTGTTTAGTCTGCCGATGTTTGTGTTGCACCGCAGTGAGACATTCGGACCGACAACCCCCCGAAGGACAACGGCTTGTCTTTTTATTCATGAGATGTTATCCAGAGATGTTGGCGAGGAAGGAGACGAGCTGGCAGGTGATGGAAACAACATCTGTTTGTCTGTGACAATGAGAGACATTCCTCGGGTTGGAGTTGAGGAGACATAATTCAGTCCTCAACGCCAAAGAGCTTCTCTGGTTTCCTGTTTAAACTTGTTTATCTTTCCTCAACGTTTTCAAAGATCCCGAATACTCGTCCAGGCGCATTGATGGGAAATGTGTATTAAAACACAAAACACTAAAACCCGTATTGAATGGAATGGTCAATGGAACAGCAGTGTTGTGTGTGTGTGTGTGCGTGTGTGTCTTTTGTCGGTCCACGAGGGACGTTTCCAGAAGGCGTCACGAAAGCTATTTGACCCTAAAACACAGAAACCGGTGATAAGAAGCCTGCAGAATGATGAAAAAGAGAAACGTGTTTTATGGTGTATGACGAAGGTGTTTTTCATTACGTGACCCCAATAAAGGAACGTTTCTGCAGTAAAATGAGACGGTGTTTGCATCAGGTAACAGAAGAGAAGCCAGGTTTGTGAAAACACGCCATGAAAACCGATCGCAAAAGCACGTCGACGCGTTTCTGTCGCTGCAACGTGCGCAGGTACGAGGGCTCCTCTCTCGCCACGCTAACGGACACAAACCGCTCGTGACAACACGCCGCGCGTCCACTAAGTGGATTACATGCTGCAGTCATGTAAACAGCTTCCCGTCTCAGCTCCCTTTGCATGTAAACACTCTTCGAAATTCAGACTTTCTTTGATCGGGCTTCAAAGGATTATCCACTCTCCATCTCCACGAGCCTCCGTGTAATCGCATCCGAGGAGGAAGCAGGCCTCACTTTAAATAGTCCGGTTTCGGAGGGTTTGACCGTAACGTTTAGCGTTTAGCCGGCCGGCCGCCGCCCCGACCTTCGAGGACGCCCGGGTCGAGGTCGAGGAGGAGCGAAGACGAGATGGAGGAATCCCGCCTCGCTCTCCTTTGACGTCCCGTCACATCTTCAGCCTGAGTAACTGATGGAGCAGCGAGTGTTTTTAAAAAAAAAGCATCCCCTATTCCCGAGTAGATGGTAACGGTCATGAAGGAAATACGAGCAGCACATCAGGCGTTTGAGGGTGGACTCGATGGTGCGTCTTCGATGTCCACCATCGATATCGGCTCGGGATGCCTGGAAAGCCTGTTTCCTCACACGTTTTCCCTCCTTCGTGACGCCTGGAAACAACACTCACGCATCATCCAGTCTGGCAGTGTGATATCACACAGAAGTGGGTGATAAAACATGCTACATACGTGATCTACTGTTGAGGCTGACCGGACACGACAGCCAAAAATAATACAAGAGGTTAAATGCAACCTCACATGTACGAAACATTATGCATGTTTTCACTCAGTAATCACTGAGCTGCTGTAATTAACATGACGTGTTTTTCTATTTGCATGAGGAAACTTTCTCGGAGGCCTCCTGCTCTTCTGATGTTTATTATTAATAGAATTATTATTTTTAGGGCACTGAGAAGGTGGAGTAACACCTTCTCCCATTTAAAGGTTAGATTGTGTGCGTAGTGTTCCTCGCATACCTCTCTCTCCCTCCCTCTCTCCCTCCCTCCCTCCCTCTCTCTGCATGTTCTCATGTCTCATATGGAGTTAATCACACATATGGAGGTCCAACCCCGTCACCCCCCCACCCTGCAATAATAAAACTGCATGAACCTGTGGTGAATTTGCACTCGGTCGGGGAAAGAGGAAAACAGAGGATTTCCTCCAGCTCACATGTGATCACATGTCAAAGATCAAGGTGAAGGAGATCAGAGCTCTTCCTCACAATGTGCAACGATTGTCATGTGGGATCATTTTACACAAAGAAAAGAGCTGGACTTCACCATATATATATATATATATATATATATATATGATTATAAAACTGGCTGTGTGAGAGATCCATGTCAGCACTGATGCTTTGTGAAAATCTGCCGTGAACGAGAGATCGGACTGATCCGACTTATTAAAGCACCAAAACACCAATCAGAAGGACAACAGAACTTAATGTAGTGTTTATTTTTACATTACACTTACAAAAATGTCAGGTAATAAAAAGTAGTTGCTTTACACCATAAAAACAATATATAAAACATTGTGTTTGCCATCAAAAAAAGGAAATACAGTATTTTGTTTAAGGATAAAGGCACATGTTGCTCACTTGGAGACCCATACTGTATTTACACGTGTATTTCTACGTGGTTACTCTTTTTTTTTTTATATTGGTTTGACACCCTTTTGTGTGTATCTACATGAGCACAATCACAAGCACAAGCACACACACAGAAGAACGGTTAATCACATATTCCCTCAGACGGCCATTCGACAGCAAGTCTTTCACTTTCCAGCGATCACAACAGATTGTGTCAAGTTTGACTTCTTCTAAATGCAGCAACACCGACTGCGAATAAAAGGAGGTGAAGCCGTTAAATCACCACGAGGCACGTTTTTTTTTTTGTTGTTGTTTTTTTCACTCAAAGTATACTCCTCAATAACACTTTGCAAACATAGAAATGCGAAATCAACCAAAGGTCTGCTTTTTTCAGGCTAATATCTTGATACACATTTTGTTGTTTTCTTGACATTAAGAGGAAAAACTTTAAAAAACTATTTTCTGTCTGAATCCCAACCTGATTTTCACTTTAGAAATATAAACACATATAAACACTTTTTATCATGTTCAGCTATTATACTTATACAACATGGCATCCGTCATCTTGCAGCTGCACAGTAATGAGGAGGAACATAATAACGGTATTTAATGTAATGATTGATGTATTTTGGATTTACCCATCTGCCTCTCCAAATGTCTCAGGACCGAACCACACAACACTTTTAGGAAAATAGATAATGGAGCGTTTCTGCCTGCTGCAGGCGGCCGATTTCAACAACACCGTTTTTTTTTTCTTTCAAATTCAGAGATAATGGCGACGACATAAAAAAGAAATGCGAAAAACAACTTTAATGTTGTTCCCCGGAGACCGACGGGTCTGAAAAACATTTCCTCCAGTGAGACCCACGAGCTGCGTTTGGTTCAAACAAAGATGGCCGCCAGAAAAAATAAGTTGCTCGTTACACAAAAGGTGATCTTCGTTACTTGGTAAACGTTGCGTTGGGCCTCGCTTTGCAAACAGGATGTTAACACCTATCGCACAATCAGTGTTTTTTCTTTTGCTCTTTAGTGTTTCTGCTCAGCTGGAAAACTCATCACCGCTCCACATTGTTCCCTCCGTCGTCCCTCCTGGTCTCGTCCCCGTGTTCCTCCTCAGCTCGCCGCTTTCCTTCCCTCGCCAAGGTTGTTTTCCCAGGCCGAAGCGAACGGGAAGTGAACACAATGTGTCGGCTCGCGGGAGAGATAACACAGACAGGAAGGGGCGGGAGCAACCCCCCCCCCCCCCCCCCCCTCCAAACCGGGACAGGAAGTTGACTCCGCTGTTGTGTTTAGCTGATTAGAGGGCGACGAGAGAGGAGCTGCGGCGGGAGACGACAGGGAGGCCGAGAGCGAGTTTATTCATAAGTTTATGTGTATTTGAAGGCAACAGGAAAGCGCTGAGGAGGCTTCCAGCTATTGTGTCCAGCGGCATTCAAAGGAGCTTTAAAGAAACAACTTCAAGTCCAAACAAAACAGATAAACGGGAGAGTAAATAAACCTCTTGAATGGAATGAAAATGCTATGGTTTTTAAGACACATGAATGTTGTCTTGTCGGTTGGACCGTGTTAACGGGATGGGGAAAAAGATTTGTCGATTGCTGCTTTGAACTTTGAACTTTTCTTGAACAATTGACCTGAAGAACCTTTATTTGCGCGAAGATCCCAAAAATCTGTCAGCATTGTTTAAATGCTGCTGAGTCTCTGATAACCAGGGTTCCAACAGCCAATGAGCGCAGTTTCTCCTTCAAATATCCAACATATACCGGAAATTACCGGAGGATTAAAAATGACCCGATCGATGGTTTCTTCCATTGGAATTGGCAGCAACAACCAATGAATTAAGGAGATGATTGTAATCAATGACACACAGTTGAGATGACCTGAAACCCATTTTGCTGATGGGCCTCTTCTCAGGTTCAATTTGACAAACATGTTGCTGGTGTTCAGCTTCTTAAATAAACGCCAGTTGTGCTGCTTATTTCGTTTTTTTGTTAATGCGGATGTAATATCTTGATTCATTTTTGGTCACCAAACAAAAGGCATCTCGGGCTCAATGGCCTCATCGCATCAACAATCAAACGAACAGATTAAACAATAACTGGTTTGAGCCTTCATCTACAAACAGGCAGATCATTTCATTGACAATAATAGTATAGCATGCGTCCATGTTCAGCTTGTTTGAGGCACTGCGTCCGGACAGTTAAAACGAGTAGACTTCCCGTATCGATCGAGTAAAATGCTTCCCCGTTGGAATCGACACAGACTCCAGTGAATTAAGCCTCTCCGGCCCGGTCGAGGGGATCTGAATGAGCAACAGCGCTGCTTGTAACGACGCCAGATTAAAACCACGGGGCCTTTTTGACAGTAGCCCCAGAGGATGGGAGGTTAAAGTTGTTCGAGCCACCTCGTGGTCATCACAGCGGCCCGGCTGGCCACTTTCGCCGCTCCGCGTTTCCTGAGTTGTCTGAATGACTTTTGTTCTAGTGGCCCGCTGAGAATTACTGTGATGAAAACTTCTGTCAAATAAAACCTGGGAACATGCTGTAATTCTGTCGGCGCGGCGTTAGTGCCGTTTCCTTTCAGTCAGTCCGGTTTCTCTTTTTTTCTCCTCGGAGCGGAAGATAAATGAGAAAATGGACAAAATTACCCACTTAGAAAAATGGCTCGGCGGTGATGTGATGGTCGGTTTCAGGAACCAAAAACAGGGTTTCTACCGTGAAAAAACTGCCTTAGTGCTAAATATCAGGAACCTTTGGTGCAGCTTTCTAAACGTCTTCCAGGCGGCCAACACCTGAGGTTCTGCTACGCGTTTTCCAGACGTGAACTTTCCTGAAAGACTCTTTTCAGTATTTTAGCTGAAGCATTTCTCTGTGATCAAACTGCTTCGAGTTAAAACTCTTGCAGCTTCTCAGATTTTCCCCTCAAACACCCTGAAGATCTTATTTACAAATCAAATCAACCTCAGAACAAAAATGAAATCCCGCTTATGGCTCTTTTGTCAAGGAAACAAGTTCAAACAGGCCGTTAATATGAAAGAAAAACAGAGGACGGAAAAAAAATAAGCTGAGAAATCTCAAATCAACCAAGAGCTGTTTTAAAATGTGCCACTTTGCTTCCCCAGTAGTTAAAAAAAAGAACTTCCATTGATAATAAAAAAAGGCGTGTTAGCCGATACACATAAACGAGATATCAAGACGAGTGGATGTAAACATTTGATTTGATAAGACTACGCGTACGTTTCCAAATCTAGATTATGCCATAGCTGAAGAAATATACATCATTTGTAGGTGTGTGTTTCCGTGACATAGGTGCATACAGATGACACGTTTTAAGAGACATAACACGAAACTTTATCCGCGGTAAAGTTAATGGTGTTAATACGGGGATTCAAAATGCTGCTTTGACTCATGAACTGAATTCAAACGTAAAGGATTTCTACACGTGGTCAGCAGTGACCCATCATCCATCCGCACTTCGCCCGTCACTCAGCACTGTGACGGAAATCGCTAAAAAACGCATTTTTCGCGGCGTGGATCTTGCGCCGTCCTCAGGAATCGACCTCCTCGCACATCGGTGCGGCAGACGGCGTCGTGCTCCGGTGTTACTTTAGAGAAACCTGTCCAACGTCTCCTCGGGTGCAGACGACGGGCCTGTCGTTAGAATAAGAGCTCTCCAGAAAACCAAACGGAAGCGTGTGATCTCCTCCGTGCGCTTGGATAAGTGTGAGTGTGTCTTTATGGCTCTTTGCAGTGCGTGTGTGTGTGTGTGTGTGTGTGTGTGTGTTTGTGTATTTTGGCATCCTACACGCTCATCAGCAGGCGGTCTCCATCAGTACTGATGGTAGTAGTCGGGGGCATCCACGCCGTACAGCTCGGCCAGGGTCCTGAACCTCGGGCCCCACTCGTTGAGGAAGTCGTAGTCCAGGTTGGAGCCCGTGGAGGAGCTCCCCAGAGAGCTGAGGCTCCCGGCCAAAGACTCGGGGCCCTCGTAGCCGTAGATGTGCAGGGTGTCGTACGGGAAGCCGTCGCGGTCGTGATCCGCCTCGTCCTTCTTCACCTCGATCATCACGGCCATGTCGCCCTTGCGGGCGGTGGGCGGCGCGTGGTGGTGGGGCTTCTGCACCATGGCGTAGAGAGACGGGTGGGGCTGGTCCGGGTGACGGAGCAGGGAGCCGCCCTGGCAGGCGGAGGAGAGGATGGAGACGTCGTAGCTGGGAGAGAGCGGAGTGCCGAAGGTTAAACTCCACATTTGACCCCCCCCCCCCCCCGCCTCAAAAGTCCAATAAACAGTGACAGTGGTGCAGATATTATAGATGGCATCCAGGGGTTATGTAAGGTTACTATTACTATTAAAATATGGATAAGATTGGATCCGGATGAGATTAAACTTTAATTGTTTCATTTGGGCTAACTGGGTCATCAAATTGACAGATACAGAAAAGGAAAATGAATATTGCAAAAGGTTCGAGTTAATAGACTGTATGGTTTTCTACAAAAATATGAAGTGCAAAATAAAGGTACGGCATCAATAAAAACTGGAGGACATAAATCTTGTACTGCCTTTCAAATATATCTGCATGTATAAAATTATATGCATATAACTATATATATGCATATAAAGACGAGTATTAAGGTGAAAAACATTTCTGCAACAAATGTTTCAGATCTTGATTGAATTCAAAATTATTTTTAATTACTTTGTTTCAAACAAAAATCTCTTAAAAAAAAAAATGAAACAGTGCATATTTTTTCCTTTTCATCTACACACCCGTTAGTGTCCATCTCTCCTCCTCCCTCCTCGTCGTACGTGACCAGCTGCTCGTGAATCTCGCCGCTGTTCTTCAGGTTGGAGAGGGAGTCCTTCTGGTAGCGTTTCCTCATCACAAACAGGATCACGATGACTGAAAAGCAGCACAACCAGGTTTGCTTTTAAAACGTATTGATCCTTCATCTGCTTTGATGGACACATGGTACGATGTCATCTTTTTTCTCCTTCCAGGAGCAGAATAAAGCTGTGAACCAGTGCGTATGGGCCATGCATGAAAGAGGAGCTATCTTTCCTGCTGGACCAAAGAAGGAGAGAGAATTAGGGCAGGAAAATTGGAGACAGAAGAAAGAATGAGGGCAAAACCAAGTGGGGAAAGTGGAACACTAACGAGGGATTGAGACTAGAAACCCTGCAAGAACAAGGGGGGGAAAATGAGCAGCGGGTGATTTTAGGTGTCTGAGACGTTTCGCCTCGAGCGCGAAAACCTCCGATGAATCTTCTCCGCCGGAGACAAAAGCGAGAGACGGAAAGAGAGGAGAGCAAAAGACGCAGGAAGAGCGATTCAGTAAATAGCAGAGAGGAAGTGGAAAGGAGAAGGCAAAATGAAGAGGAGGGGGGGGGGAACAAAGAAAGGAAAAGGAAGGAAAGTTTGTGTCTTGCAGGTGACGAAGAAATAAACAATTGTGAAAGAGAGAAACGGGGTGAAGAGAAGAAAACACAGGAAGAGGTGACGAGTCAACACGTGGACTTAACAAGTCATACAGAACAAACCCTTAACAATCCTTATGGGAACAAGTGTGATTTTATCTCCGTGTCTGGTCCATCACAAGGAATCCAATAAACGCAGCAATCTTTAACGAATATTAAAGGTTTTGACAGACTTCTACCGGTTACTTGAAGCCGATCTGGTTCCTTTAATGAAGTGGCCAAATTAAAAAAAAAACAATCAGATAAGAAAGTGGGATGAAGGTTTTTTTTCCTGTTCTTTGCTGTTGACGCCCTTCAGAGACCAGAGAGATGAGGTCATGAGGGCGACGGAGCAGGAGAGAATAGAAGGAAAAGCTAAAGAAGTGAGGAGAGCAGCCGGCGATCCGGGGGGACGGGAGACGTCCGGCTCGACGACGTCCAGACAGGAGACAGCAGGAGGACAGAAGGGCACATTTGGACGTTCGGCCCCCATGTGAAGCTCCGGGCCTTCTCAGTCGAGGGCGAGCACGGCTAATTTTAAGTTTGCCTGGGAAACCGGCAGATTAATCTTTTACAACACATGCTGCGGAGCTTAATAAGCCCTGGAGATATCAGACTTAGAGGGGAGAGGAGGAAGACGAGCAAAAAGAGAAGAAGCCCTTTGTAGAGAAACGACTTTCCGCGTGTCAAACCCGAGTGAGAAAGTGCGTGAATGGGGAGCGCGGTAAATTGCTTCGGGCCCCGGCAGATAATGACAAGTGCATTTAATAGTTAATCTGGCCGGCGTTGGGGGGGTTGTTTGATAAAGAGAAAGAGAGAAGAGAAAGAGGAAGAGAGCGATGAAGGAGGGAAAAAAAGGGGGAAACGGCGCGATAGCGAAGGACTATATTAATAGTTGATAGGTTGAGTGTTCGGCGGTGTTTGATAAGCAGACGGCACCTAAAGACCCGATAAACTCCCTCATTACCGCCGCCGTTCTTCTGCTGCTCTTTCCCACAATCCTCCTCTCTCTCTCGGCGTCCCTCTTCTTTAACCTCTTTCTGTCGCTCTGCTTCCGGCGGAGCGCCCCGTCTCACTCTCCTCTCACCCGTCTGCCCGCCTCTCTCATATCTCCGCCTAGATTCACGCCTGTCACTCCGCCTCCGTCGCTTTTCATCTTTAACTTCTTCTTGTCTGTCTTCGTTGGCACTTTTCATCTCGTTTGGCCAACTATCTCCGACTCGGATCTCACCCGACATGACAAGTGTCTCTTTTTTTTTCTTCCCCCAGGAAGAAAAAAGCAGGAGCATAGGGGGGGGGGGGGCGGGTGGGAGCGAAGGTATCAAAGAGAATATTGAGCTGACAACCGCAGGCATTATTTCCACATCCGTCGCTGCATTATTCATAAAACCAACAACAGTGAAGGGGGGGGCTCCCTGCAAACTTCTTAGTTATCGCAAAGCGAGCAAAGTGGATGTGTGCGGATGCCCCCATCACACAGGGCCACGGGGCCTACGTGATCCCCCCCCCCCTCAGAGGTCAAACCTCTCAGAAGACTTCGATTCGCCAGCAGCTGTTTTTTTTCTTCCCTTTATCACCGATAGAAACGTTTCATGAGCCCCCGTTTGTTTCATCAACCCGAGGACGCTCGGTTATCAGGACCCACCCCCCCCCCCCCCCTCCAGAGAGGGGACAGTTGTGTGGTTGTAGGGAAGCTAATTGTGCTACATTTCTCGTAGCGTATGTAATTACTTTTTCAACAGCGGCAGTGAAGGTCGAGCGGGGGTGAAACCGGAGCGACGCAGAAACAGGAAGCGGCGTCCGGACGGGAAGTGACACGTTCTGTTTGCTCGGCTTGTTTGGAATCCACTTGTGTTTGATTTGTTTACTTTCCTGCTTCCAACAGCCACAACAACAACAACAACAAGTCGGAGATCAGGATGATTTGGGATCAAATTTGCAGCGTCATTGCGGCACTGCAGAAAACTCACCGGGGTAAACAAGCACGAGTATGAAGAGACGAAAGAGATATTTAATCATGCAAAGAAATGCAAGCGATTGCAGGGAATCCATGGAGCCTCGGAGGGACACTGTGGGATTTAGGAGGGTTTACGGGCAGAAGTTGGGTCTAATATTCATGTCTGTGTTTTCATTGGCGTATAATCACCTGAAATGAGGTATTTTGTGCTGTAGAACGGACCCTTCACATCATTCTACATGTATTCACGATGGACACCCGGTACCTTCGCTGCCCACAATGCAACTTGAGCGCTCACGGGCCTCTTGAAGATTCCTGCGCGTTTTGCAACCGGCGGCTCCAGAGATTCGGGGGTCTGGCAACTGGACTAGAACTGTTTTTATTTGCTAAGTGAGTCCTCTACAGCTGACGTGGACTCAAGTGACATCGCTCGAGGCAACGAGTCGGCTCTCGACTCTTTTTGGAGTCACAAAGGGGGATGAGACAACTTTTTTCCCGGATGCAGTTCTTTGATGTGTGGAACTGTTGAAACTGGCCTTCGAGGTGCTCTCCGAGATGAAACAATGGTCACTGGAAACAAAGGATTCTCCAGGCGCTCTGAGCCACCGAACACAGGATCATCTCCACCAACCCCGGCAGATGATCTCGGGGAGAGGAGCTGCGCGGAAAAGTCTCAGCGCGTAGAAGGAGGACTCGAACGTACCCAGTATGGTCAGTATGCAGAGCAGGATGGCTATCAGGGCGTGCACGCTCACTCCCATCCTCCGGGCGCCGGCTTTGCACTGCGTGGGAATCCGCCGGGCGTCACACCGACACGACTGCAACACAACGCATTAGTGACACATGAGCTCTGCAATGCACGAGGGTACATTTGACCTGTTGGGCAGCAAGTAAAATCGTGCTTGGTCACCTTTTCGTGTTTCAGTTCTTATGACATCCTGACAGCAATCAAAGAGCCAAACACTCTAAAGTTCACCGGCTAGATACACATCCTAACAAAGATCAGCACCGTTTAGCAGCAGATTGCAGTTCAAACTAGTGTTTCTTGTGTTTAGGTTATGTCACAAACAGGTAAAATAAGTCAAAATAGACTTTTGATTTCACACGGAGCAGAAAGTATGTCATCTGACGCCCTCAGAGGCAGAGTTATATATACGCGTCGCAGAGCATTACTCCTCCGAGGTGTAATTACGACAGGTGGAAGAGAAGCGCCTGCAGAAAAGCTCCTGAACAGACCTTGATTGCCAGCTTGGTGACGCTGGTCTGGGCGGGCTGCCCGCCGTCGCTGATGTGCACGTCCACGCTGTAATCCGCCGGGTCGTCCAGGCTGAACGGGCCTTGTTTCACCGTGAGGTCGGACGTGCCGTCTTCAAGAGAGAAGCACATGAACACACGCGGTTACAGAGTGACGCCTCGACCTTTCTGCGCAATCCGCGTCTGATGTGTCCGAATCATCACTTTGTCCCCAGGAAGAGGATCTAACATTCACCTGCCTTTAGTCTTCAAGGTCTATTCATACAGCGAGCGTCTGTTGCAAGATACGCGAAGAGAAAGAAGGCAGACGGAACGCTTGTGATTATTTGTCCGTTTGCTGCATTTAGGATTTCTTTCGTAACGGCAGCATCATAAAAAGAGACAAACATTTCGTGTGTCCTCAACATGCACCGAGCCGATTGTTGTCGACGATACAAACAACACAGCACCTAATAATCGAAATGCACCGTTAGTTGTTTCTCAAAATACACAATGAGCTTAAAGTCAGAGGCGGCAAAAAGGGAATAGAAGCCAACAGAAAGAAGGGTGAGAATAGAACAGAATGCAGTCATCAGTCAAAGCCCCGGCAGGCAGGAGTTTCCTGCTGAGGCGACGGGCAGAGCCTTTCTCCTGAACGTCCCACCAGCGGAGGAATTTGAGAAACTCAATGGCAGGAAAGACCCTCAAGGACCCTCGGACACGCCGAGACACTGTGCTGGACCCCCGGCCAGAGGAACAGCTCTGTTTGAATAAAAACAACCTTTGCTGTTTGCTCACATTTGCACATAGTGGACTTTTTAATTAGCGGTGTCTTGAGAATGACTTAATTATTTAAACCCCCTGAGAGATTTCTGACATGAGCTCTGATTCCACCCGTCAGAGGCCTTAAACGTCTTTAAAGGCTTCGGTCAGGAGATCAATGCCCCCCCCCCTCACACACACATCCACTTTTACTGATTGACAAGCTTTGTATCTGAAGTATCTGTATCTGCTGTTATGTAAAACAAGTTGTTGGAACATTTCTCCGCAGATCCACGGTGTCAGAATCCGGCATTAAAAGATGTGTTTTCCAGCTCGTGAGCGTTCAACATGTCCGACACCCAAGAAACCACCACCTCACTGTCATTCCCATCGTTGTCTCGCTGCCGGTGTGCGTGTGCGTGTGTGTGTGTGTGTGTGCGTGTGTGTGTGTATGTGCAAAAGAAGCCTTAACCAACTGGATAAAAGATGAAAACAGCTCCTGTCCTCCCATCATCTCGTCCCTCGTCCCCATCTCGTCTCCCGCTCCTTCTTCTGTCGGAATCCCGTCCCTGTGGATTTCGGCGCATTCCTCGATGTCCTCTCTGCCCCCCTCCCCACCCCCACAGTGGCCTCTTCCTCTCTCCGTGGAGCCGGTTTGAAGGAGAGTCGCGTGTCACTTCGCTGCTGTGTCCTTCAGGGTCCCCGGTAATGAGAGCGGCTTTTAAAGAGCTGGTACTGGATGAATATTTTAACAGCCTTCACTTTGCGGCCCTTGTTGCCTGTGTGTGTGTGTGTGTGTGTGTGTGTGTGTGTGAAGTGGTGTGAGGTGAGGTGCTGTCACATGTTTTCTGGGGGTGGGGGGGTCCCCGGGGGGAACAGAGGTTCGCAGGTACAACCAGCACTTATCAAACTATCTCCTTCTCGGCTTTGCGCTCATCATAGACACACGACCTGTCAATCACAATAAGCCCGCCCTAAAGCAAACCTTCACGGCCTGATTGACTCCAAATGACTCACTCTTATGTCTGTTTCTTTCCCTCTTCGTCTCTCCTCTCTCTTTTCCTGCCTCGATTCTTCCTCGCGTTCGTCGCTCTTCATCGTTCTCTCCTTTTACATTTGCCTGCATTTTAGCGCAGCCTCACTTTAATATTACCCGTGTCCCTTAATCCCGGTCTCTCCGTCTCGCCTCCTTTCATCTTTTTTCCCTCCACCTCTGCCTCATCTGTCTTTCCTTTGGCTCTCCTCCGTCTCCCTCTTCCTCCTTCTCCGTCGGTTCAACGCGTCGCCGCCGCCGGCAGAGAGGGAAATGGAAAATCACACCTCTGTTTATCTTCCTTTCAGTGCGCTTCAAGTTTCACTTAAATGAAACAGCAACACTTCTCCTAAATCTTTCATCTGACTACCTGCGGCTTTCATCCATTCACTCTTGCTATTTGACCAGAACAGTTTGGTAACTCTTTTCCTGCGGCTTTCATGTTTCATGAGATCTGAAGCTGATCTGAGAACCGTTTCGTGCCATTTTGTGTCCTGGGTTGAGAAACACCGGAGCACCAACCTTTGCCTAAATATCAGAGATGTCTGGATCAAAGCAGATGCCTCATCAGAGGCCACATCGCGTCCGTATCTCCGTCTGTTCGCTGCAGCTGACATTTTCCAACGTGCATATTTGTATCTCTCACAAATGGCGGCGGATCTGCCGCTTTGCACCCCCCCCCCCCTAATCTTTTGGAAAGCTCACTTTTTAAGTTGAGACAAAGAGTATAAAACAGCTGAATAAGTGATCCACGGGACAACATGTAAGGCCTCATAAAACGGCCCTCATTGGAGCTCATGCTTCCCTTTAAAGCACATTTCCATCCCGTCGCGTGAATGCAGTGTTTTCCAAGCGAACTCGTGTGTGCCTGCATGAGTACGTCATACAATCATGGGCGCTAGCTTTCTCTTAAAGCACCTCGGCGCGTCGAGTGATGAAAGTCAGCCCGCATCTGAATTAAAATAGTCCTATTTTTCTGGCAGATCGCCACATTGCGAGGCGCAGAAAATCCACGTTGCCGGGAAGATGAATCGCCGAGACTTTGTTGATCCTCCGACGCTCCACGCGCGCCCCGAGCACTATTCAATTATTCAAAGGAATATTTCAATACCGACCAGATGGGCTGTTGCTTTTGTACAAACACACTAAATATCCTTCTGACTGCGGTGACTTTTCTTCTACCCTCGCCACGTTTAATCGGTAATCTTTTGTGTTTAAGCTTCAGCTCTCGTGGATTGAAGTCGTGTTACGTCTGGGAACATTTCTGGAAATCCCACATATCAGAATATGCAGTTTCCGACCCCCCCGCTCTCTGTGCTTTCATTGAAAGAAAGCACCACTGTAGCTGTGTGTGTGTGTGTGACCTTCAGCGTTCCTGGCTGGGATGAGTTTAGAATCCATCCTCATGTCCGCAGAGACACTTGCTCTGATTATTTTCGATATCTGCTGCTGTGCCTTCCGGACGGCGGCCAGACGGGCCGTCTAAATCCTCCTCCTCCTCCTCCTCCGAGGAGTTCAAACAATTCCCACCTTTAAGCAACAAAGCGCCGAGCCTCAAATAGAGTCTCTGTTGTCGCGTAGCAACAAGTGGCGAGGCCGGCTCCTCCTCGAGAGCGCCGCTCCGAGCAGCAAGCGGGGCGACGGAGGTAAATGCACGCGCGCTCCGTTAGACTTACTGCCGCGGCTCCTGACGGAGAAGTTGGAGCTCTGCACGCTGAAGCTGAAGGAGGCCGGCTGGTCGTCTTTGTCTGCGGCTCGCAGGGTTCCGATCACCTGAGGAGAAACACAACAGCGAGGTTGTGTAATCACGTGGGTAACGACGGTAGTTAAACGTTGGCCTCTCTCAGCGGACTTTCAGATTCAGCGTAAAGTCGGACTTCCTTTGGGACGTGGACTCCGTGCTGTGTTGGTTTGGACCATCGGATCTTATCTTAAGTACTAACAGAATCTCTTTAAACTGCATTTCTTTGCGACTGGAGATTGATGCTTTTATTTCTCCGTCACCCTGGTGGTCAAAGCAAAGTTAAAAAGAGTGTGTGTTTCTCACCGTGCCAGTGGGGTCGTTCTCACACACGAAGATGTCGTCCACAATCAGCTCGGGCTTGTTGTCGTTGATGTCCAGAACCGTGATTTCCACTTTCACTGAAGACTCCAAACCTGCAGACGGACGGCAGCACGTTAACGCAGTGTTGGGAGATTAAAAGCGCAGAATGAGTTGATATTTATGGGAATACTCATAATGGGGGAAACTTCATTATTTACATGTGTTTTTTGTCCCCAGGTGGGACCTTGTGATTTATGACTGAAAGGATGTTGACTTTAAAATGTGGTGGAAAAGGATTTTAGTGCAATTTTTGAGCAGTTTTAAGCAGTTTTTTAGTAGTTTAGTTTAGTTAGTAGCAGGCGACTAACAGATTTCATCATCATATCTTAACAATGCGCCGACAATGGAAACAGATCTATGAACGGCCTGAAGCGATTCTTCAGAGCAGACGTCCGCTGCAGGAAGAAAAAAAACGCTTACGTCCATGTGGAGGCAGAATCAATCATCCTGTTAGGAGAGCGATTGGGGAGAGGATGCAGGTGTGTCCCGAAACCCTTACGTTGGAACCAATACTTAACCAACACGATCCGGTTCCTCTTGGTTTATGAAACCTTACTAATACTACCTTACATTGATGCAAAGTCCCCACATTTTATCAATGTTTTTGTAACATTGTTGTTTGCCTAATAGCTGGTGTGACACCGTGAAGCTGATCCGGTGTGTGTGTGTGTGTCTGTCTCAGATGGAGCCTCAAGGGCCTGAAGGGATTTTAATTTGTGCGCTCTTTGTTTGGCAGTTGTGCTCTTTTTGTTTTTCCCGCATTAAAGCAGCTTTTACACTTCACATCACTGATGTTGTGAGTATTGGTCTTTTGATGAACGCCTGGGTCTCTTTCCTGCCCCTCGTTCAGAGATTCTCAAACTATCTTTAGCAGAGAACATATATCGAGCACCTTGTCGAGCTCAGGGGACCGTTGTGTTCCTTAAACATCGCGAAAATAGATCTCTAGACTCCATCGCCGGGTCTAAAAATATGTAGTTTGGTTTTGGAGACTGCAAAGTGAAGAAAGGAACCCACTGAAGTGATCATTCCCTCCTTCTCTCTGCTCCCCGTGTGTGTCGACCAGGTGTTGAGAGACAATGTGTTGAATCTTTTAATGCGCTCGACTCCCGTCCCTTGATAAATCCAGAGGAACACGCAGCCTTTTTTAGCCCCTCTAACTCCTTCCCCGTGTGCCAATTACCGCTTCTGGAGAAAACACATGGTTTCCATTTGTTATTGTGTGTGTGTGTGTGACGCACCGTCGGAGCCCTCCCGCGCTCTAACTTCGACCACGTGTTTGGCCTCCAGCTCTCGGTCCAGCTTCCTGCGGGTGGACAGCTGACCGGTTTCCTGGTGGATGCGGATGGGGCAGTTGGGGTCTAAGATGGAGTATCTGACCAGAGAGGGCGAGACATCGGCGTTAAAAGCCACAACGCAGCACTGGTTGCATTACTATCGTCGCTTTTTGCGTCTTCGCGGCGTCGTACTCGATCCTCTTTTTGGCCTTGTCGGGGTCCCTGGCCGAGACGGCTCCTATGTATCTCACGTCGCGCTCCTCCGCCACGTCGAAGGTGTAGACGGGCTTGTTGAACACCGGCGCCTCGTCTACGTCCAGCACGTTGATGGTCACCTAAATAAATCCAAATAGATCCAGTTGAAAGACCCGTGATGTAAGTTACAGTTGTTCCTTCTGTGTCTGCAAGGAGCTCTGACACAAGTGAAGGGTGGCTTATTGTTGGGTATTTACCCTGGCGGTGGTGGTGGCGCTGTTCACCACGTCCGTGACATCCAGGCTTTCATGCAGCTTGACGTTGAAGGTGTAGCTGCTCATTGTCTCGTAGTCCAGAGCCTGAGGGTCGGAGACACAATTAACAATTCATTTAAGGATTAAGTTCCTACTAGTTGAGTTGACTTGATTGACCTGATTTCAAGTGCTCCACGCTAACGAAGGTGACAAATATGAGCTTATAGGGTTAAAGGTGCAAAGAGAACCAAATGTGCACACTGAGCAGTCAGTTGTCAGTTGCAGGATTCGTTATTTCTTTGTGCAACTGGAAATGAAGTAAACTAAATGATCCACTTCTCTCATCAAAATGCTGTAAACTTAATTTTCCCTCACCAGCATAATGTTTTTGAGACCAAACTCTAACGTCTCACGACTTCAATAAACGCTTATTATTTATAGGGCTTCAGAAGTCTATGTTTCCATATTGCTTGCTCTTATTTTTAGACTGAGGACACAAGCGCATTTGCACTTCTTCTTTTTCATGTGCTGAAATGCACCACCCCCATCTTCATCCTCGGTGCGTTCACACCTGCGTCTGTTCACCCAGGACAGCTGTCCGTGCCAGGTGCAAAAAGCCTTCAAGTGTCAAAACCTGGTGCGGCTCCCACTCTGGGTTCCAGAAACACAACATGCCGCGTTTCCCCTCCGCGTCAAACACCTTGCCATGCATGAAAACACCTCATTCCTTTCACCTCTTTAAAGTCAAACTGGGACTTGCACGGTGTTACGAACGCTCTTTCATGTCGCCCGGTTACGTGGCAGCGAGCTCCGCTTACCGCCACTTCTCTGCTTATCGTCTCTTCCCCGATATTCTACCGTTCCGTTAAATGCTTGTTTCTGGTGCACTATTTTATCTGTGGATGGGACACCACAGGTAGGCAGGAATGCACCGTTAACTGGATTATTCACGGTAACAGGAATACTCCGAATCAGAGGCATGTGTAAACAGCTTAACAAGAATAAGACCTGAACCGCAGAGAGGACGATAGCTGGCTTACTCGCTGCACCAGTAAACACATGCGGTTGAGAAGGATGCGAAGGGGCTGCAGAGCTGAGGGGCGAGTCGAGCAGAGACGAGATTGCGGTGCGATTCCATTCCGGGCCGAGCCGTAACCGAGCTCACTCGGCTCGTCGGGAATACGTTTCCAGCGCTCTGATGTCCCAAATGCTTTGGCAGAGCGGCGCAATCCAGCAAAGGAAAGCCGCCAGAGTCCTTTCAGTCGTGAGTAGCTTCTAATTCAGCAACAACCTTCTGCAAAACAATCTCACGGTCGACACTGCGATTCGTTTTAAATGCAAATAGTTGCCGTGTGCTGGATAATGTTGAGGGAGCCTTGATCAGAACGTCATGTCTTCATTCTTACGCTCTCCTCATTAATGTTGGGGAGTAGGTCATGCGATATTTTTTGTGGTTGTCTCGTGCTATTCTGAATGAAAGTGAATATTCCTTTGGTGACCGTGAGGCTTCTACCTGTTTGAGCACGAGGTCACCATCTTTGTTGGGCTTGCTGACTTCAACGCCGAAGATCCAAGGTGTTTTTTTATCTGGAATGGAGAAGACAGGCACTTTGTTCCGAATCTCATCCCTGTCGTCCACCTGCAGAGTGCCTATCTTCTCGTTCAACTTGTGGTCCTCCCGAACGTTCAGCTCATACGTCCCTGCAGACAGAGAACAGACATCGCTGTGAATGTGGCTGCTTTAAACAGCAACGGATTGGAACCTTTGGCTCTCTGGAAGTTGCCTTACTTTGGGTGAAAGAAGCATGGTTGTCGTTGGTGTCTCCGACGGTGATGGTGACGGAGGTGGTGGATGTGCTGCCAGAGGGCATTCCTCTCATGTCCTGGGCTTTAACCACCACTACATACTGGCTCTTGGTTTCCCGGTCCAGAGTATTCGTCCTGGAGCTGATCACACCTGAGAGAGACAGACGGACGGAAGGGGTGTCTTGACTCATCAACCGGTAGAAATAGCTCGTATCATCCACCTCTGTCTTCATTAACTCATTCAGGAAAAGACGAGGCGGCTGCAGGATAAGACCATCCTGTCGGGCGTCAGTGCCTCCGGCCTACCTTTGATGCTGTCGATATCGAAGGCGGCAAAGTCTTCGCGTTGGGTCAGAGAGTATCGGAGGTCTCCGTTGGCCGTAGTGTTGTCATCCGCATCGGTTGCCTTCACCTCAACTACTTCAGTGCCTGGATGAAGAACATGAGTGTAAGAAAAATGATAACGGGAATAAGGCATCATGCAGCTTTGCAAAGGTGTCCAACCCAAATGTTCTTGTATTGAACACTGAACTGATTAAAGCAACATAATTATGTTCTGTGATTGTGTTATTTAAGTCCCCAACGTGCTTTCTGTTTTTTCCGTTTACCCGGTAGGTTGTGCTAATGATTATGACAGGTGTTGACATTATTGTTTAATTATTTTCCAACGCTTTTCACAGTTCTAGTCTATTTTTAATTAATTGAATGTAATCACCGGCTGTTAAATGTCAAATACTTGTAGCAGGGGAAACTACTTGTCTTGCCAAACTTTGCTAGTTAATAGTCTGGTCACATGCTTAGCGATCAGGTTTGGACGGGTTGGAAACACACAACCGTTTTTTTGACCCATCAATCACACCTCCGGCCTCCCCAGAAACGACCTTCACGCGTGTTACCAGCATGTAGCTTTGGGTCTTGTCTCCCTGTCTCATCCCACGCTGAAAAACTAAAATTGTGACACCCTTGTGAAGATCTTTTTCGCCCGTGACCACTCACCTATCGGGGACCGCTCCATAATGGATCCATTGTATGTTCGGGGGAAAACTGGGATGTTGTCATTGATATCTGTCACCTGGACAACAAAGTCTCCAGAATCCTCTATTAACTCGCCGTTCCCATCAAACATTTTGGCAGTTAGTTTGTACATGCTGTTCTTCTCTCGATCCAGAGTTTGGTTGACAAACAGGTCTCCTTTGGAATCCACGAAGAAGATCCTGTTTGCTCCTTCGCCACTTATTTCAAACTTCTTCACATCCACAGTCTTGCTCGACTTCAGCTGCGAAAGGAAAGAACGAACGCGGTTGACTTCGGTTTCTTATACTCAAATCAACAACCTCGGTAGGCTGATTATTTTAGCAAAATCACTCAAATATTAAGTGAATTCCCAAGATCCTTTGCAACATCCTTGAAACTAAATGTTGACACAAAGTAGATCTACGGAAGTACAGCAGAAACACAAGGAGGAGCTCCGGCCTGAATGAGCGTTCTACCTTTCCGATCCTGTAGGCGACGGGTGCCGGTTTCTCCTCTTCCACGTAGAGAGCGTTCCAGATCCAATCCCTCTTCTGCCTGGAGAGGATAGGATGAGACTCCTTCTTCACGATCTCATGGTGGCCTTCCGCCACGGGAAGGACAAAATCTACAGCAACAGCGAGAGCCACGGACATAATTGCCATGAGCCCAAGAGTCCACAGCAGGAGCCGAGCCATCATCTAGGAGAGAAAGTAATAGGGAGGGATGAGGGGGGGAAAGAGAGCGAAGAGGGGTAAAAGAAGGAATAAGGGTGACGGGAGGATGCATAAAAGCAGAGGAAATGTGAGCGGGAGAGAGGGAGCAGAAAAGAAGAGGGAAGAGATCACATTAAAACCACTTATCAGCTGTGGACAGACCCCTTCACGGTGCCAGGGTGAGACTCGGAGGGAAGGCCAAGGACTCGCGGCCCCCTCACCACTGAGCTTGAGGTCCAGCTATCGGTTTGGACCAGAGCTCTTAAACCAGCCTGGGACCCGAATTAAACATTCAGCCCGTCATCTCGGGACCGGGGCTGAGGCATATCACTAATGTGGTCGTATGGGGATCTATTAAACATAGGCCTGTGACCCATTTTAGGTCCTGACCCGCTGGCGTAACACGAGGGAGGAAAGACAGACGGACAGACGGAGAGACGAGCTGACATTAAAACCACTTAGGATGTCCGTCTTTATCAGCCATTGGAAAGGCCATTTACCACGAAGGGACTGTCTGACATTTTACATTTGTGATTGGTTTTTATAATGCTCCCCTTTAATGCAGCACATGGAAGTGTCGCTATTTAAAAAAAAGAGTTTGGGTGAAACGCAGTTTCTAACACCAGCTTTAGATTCAAACGCAGGATTATAAGAGAAAGAGGAGTCAGTGGACGACAGGGAGGAGCAATAAGGACAAAGGTGTCCCCATGTGGGCTTCAGTCAATCAAATGCAAGCTGTTGTTTGACATGTTTTTATCCGGCAACAACTTCTGCTTTGATAAAATGCGACGTCATCTGGCAACAACGTTGCCCGCACACATTCCTGCTGGGGCATCAAGTACTCAATGCAATTCTACTGTTTGACTTCAATTGAAACTTAATTGAATCCTCTTAGCAAATGCAGTGTTTTGGCATCAGATGCGCCTTCAACTTGCAGGCTTGCGTCTTCTTACCTTCAAACTCCACATTCACAAAGACACATGTTTTAGTTTTGGTCTGAACTGATGAGACGAGACTTCCACATTGGATGTTCTGTGAGGTTCCAGAATAATCCAAGGAAATCAACCAGAGTGTCGGACAGATTTGACTTTTCCTGATGACATCAGTGCAGCGGATTACCAACGACTGTCTGCATTGAAAATAAAAGGCAATTCCCCTCAATAGTGACAAAGGAACATGCTTGTGCTGCTTTAGGAAAAGTCTGGGGATCAACCGTCATAAGGATTCATCCTCTGGGGAATATGAATATCATGACAATACTCCAGGTACTTTAAATATTTAAGCCGTGACCAACGTGGTGAAACCACAAAATAACAAACCTACTAAAACAAATATAATGTGATAATGAAATAAATAAATAATGATCTCTGGCGTTTTAATACTCTACGCAATACATGATGCACGATGCATCCAAATCAAGTATCGGCAAGTCACTGCAGAGACATGAAGCCCAAAGACCAAAGAAAGCCCCAGATGCAAATAAAGTATGTGTATTTATTACAACTGTATTACTTTTACCCAACAATGACAAGCCACCAACAACAAACCAACTCGGGTCTGATTCCTATTGAAGCTCACATTTGGTGAAATGACTTCTAAAATCTGAAGCAAACTCTGCTTCCATGTGCTAAATGGGTTTTGGTGGATGTAAGGAACGTTTCCCTGCCTTGCATCACGAGTTCCTGCCTGCCAGCCGTTTTAGCGCAATTTAACCAAACTGAAAGTACGGAAGGCAAACAAACCCGCTGTCTAGTAAACGCTAGCTTTCCCATCTCATTCCTCCCCACTGTATCTCAGCTCCTCTTTTCCTCTACTCCGTCCCCACCGTGGTCCCTGCCCCCCCCCCTCACTGGGCTCTATCTAATAAAGCAGAAATGCGGGGAAAATAATCTGCAAAACATTTGAGTCTGTGCTGTGCTCTCCGGCAGATATCTCAGCGCAGCTCCGCGGCGTCCCCGTAGACAGATTAGTGCCTCTTATTGTCTCCCGGCCATTAGCAGCAGAGAGGGAGTAGGAGAGATTAGGATGAGGGGATTATACCGGCACAAAGTCTTCTCCCTCTAATGGCCTAATCTCGTATTCTGCTGACCTCCCCTGACCTCTTCACACGGCTCCCCCCAAAACCAGCTCTCACACTCGACAGGGGTTTTTGGCCTTTTAGTTCACGTCCTTTTGTTGGAGTTTTGTTCTGTTTTGGTCTTTGTTTAGTTTCCTTTCAAGACTGAATCAATTAAACAGAAGAGCATCTTTCATTGCAGCTTGATGTGGACCTCTGAGTGTGAGCGTACGTGTTCACTTCATCGACAAAGTATTCTGCTTCGTGATGTCTTAATCTCACTCGCTGGTAGCCTTCTCACGCCTCTTCCTCTCGTCATGTCCACTCACCTGACTACTCGATGACGTTTATCCGTCTCGTCTCTCGAGCTCGTTGATGTTCAACACTTGAGTATGGAGTTGATTGGATACTTTTATTCTGAGATTGACTGGACTGTCAATGCTGACATATGAGCCTGTACCCTCATAGAGTGGGTTTTTCTATCTTTGCAAAGCAGATATTGTAATGACTGAGAAAAAGGCGCTTTCTCCATTTCACCACCAAAATGTGGAACCGGGAAATGAGGATGTAAGGAACGAGAGGGGCAAAGAAAATAGGCTTCTCCTTTTATCTTTGATTAAACTTGCATCATACAGATAAAATATTCATTCTCACATAAATAAAACTGATACATCAGACACTTGAAAAGGGCAAATTGGTCTGATGTTACAGTTAACTGTCGCTGGTCTCCATGACTTCCTCCCATGGAAACATCTTAAAGGTCATTCCTTTCTTTCATCACACGCTGTGTACGTCGCGTATTTGAGCTCGTTCAGCTGTTGCATCTTCTTTTTCATGTCCGGTTTTTTAACAGTTTAGTTTAGTTAAGTCTCATAATGCTTTCCTTTGTCCGTATGTTTTTTAAACTGTGTTGGGAACTGAGAATGTTCTGCAATCACCTAAACCCAGAACCGACGGTGTTTCCTGATGTTTGTCCTGCTCCTCTCCGGCCTGATCTTTCCCCACGTATATCCTTCCTCTCGACGTGGTCTGCACAAACAGAGCACGTCCACAGTGTGCGCTGCACATGTATGTTCTCAGGGCACGAGGAAAAGGAAATGAAACAACTGCAACATGTTCGATAAACGCGCGTTGGTATCAGAACAATTGACTGTGTTGTGTGTGTTGACTCACACTTACACAAACGACTACAGCGTCATTTCTGTGATGACCTCCATGGGGGGGGGGGATTGTCCCTAAAAGGGCATTTTTCAGTGAATTTCCTTCTCCATTTGGGGAGCTTGTTACTCCTTCCCTTTCATCAGCGGCGGGATGTGTAAACACAATGCCCTCTGGGAAATGCCCGAGGGTCTGTTAACGAAGGGTCGTGATTAGCGAGCGGACGCACCCTTCCTGGTATTCAGCTGACGGCATCTCCCTCTTTTGCTTCTGTCTCACACTTCTGGTCCCTCTCCTTCTTTCGGACTCTTTCAATGGTTTTGTTCAATTTGAAGAAATCAGTTGAGGTGAAACTCCAACTTTGTTTCTGTCAAATAGTTTTATTTCCGTTTCCTTTCCTCTCTGCTTTTGCCCTTTTTCACCTCCTCTTTTTCGTCGCTCTCTCCGACTCGCGTTGAAGGCGGATTAGCAACTTCGAAGATTGTGTGAAGGATAAACACAGCAATTTAACACCTTAGACGCAATTAAGCTTTTCACTTTAAGAAAAAATCCTTTAGTGTGACTTGTAAAGTTTTCTTCAGTCAACTCCCCCCCCGAAAATGTCACGCAGGCAAATCTCACTTCAGGATTACACAAAGTTGTTTACGGCATCATCTATCAAAGGCATCTTGCCGAGGTATGAAGAATGAATAACGTGTCTGTGATTACATCTGAACACTGTCCGCGGGGCAGCGGCAGAGTGAGCGACAGACGCCGGGATACGGTTGTCATTCTCCGGGACGTTTGGTGACTGGCAGTGACCCAGTTTCACGCCTCCAAAGGGGGGAGCGGGGAAGCGAGTCGACGAGACGCCATGTTGAGGTTTCGACCGACCGATACTCAGCACAGCTGTGTCCCGGTGTCATGATGAGGTCTAAAGAAGGGATTTCATCATTCATCAAGTGATCAATCACACGAGCGGCGCGTTGGTTTCCATTGTTCACATCATCACAATCAAAATCCAGAGTCTATTCAAACTAAAGGAAATAGTTCAAATTAATCAAGTTTTGGAGACAAAAATGAAGATTGGGGAGTCTGTCTTTCCACGACTGGCAAGAAGAACGGCAACAATGTGTTCTTTTCTGTAGATTTACAGAAATAAAAACTCTTAAATGCACATTGTTCTTTGATTGAATGAAAGGGCTCCAAGGGAAAGAATAGAATGGAGTAAAATGTAAACTGCTCTGGCCTTTAACTTGATAACATTGTGTTTTTCTTGTTTTTGTACACGTCTGAAGCGTGAATGTTGTGTCAGTTTATGAGTCCGTCGTCTCTCTCGAGTTCAGAAGTCTTGGTGTGTTTGCTGTGGATTTTCATTGTCCTTATAGGATGACCGCGGTTCTCCCTTGAACTCTACCGGCATGCTGAGTATAAAATAAATATCAAAATTCATGTCGAGAGTCATGTTGTACACTGTGCTCGCTTATGCTCCCCAGAGTGTGAACCTCTTTCTGTAGGACCTTCTTCGTGTGCCGCTCACGGGCCAACACGTTAATGTTTTTCAAAAGTAGTACAGCTGGGTTGCTGCGAAGTCTGTTCAGGCCACTCATTGTCCCCAAAGGATGAGCCCTGTTGACTTTGAGGATCACATGACCCCTTTTTCTCCAGCAGCGCCCATTAAGGAAAGTGTGTTTCTTTGCACAGGATGCCTGTTGCATGATTTAACAGGCTGGCATTTGCAAACCACTCCCCAGAGGAAGAACCTGTACCTTCTACACTGGTGTGAAAAATCTGTAATCAGCGTGAGGTCTAAAAGTCTCACTCCATGCTTTGCACATCTGTCTGCAACTGGTAGTAGTTTAGCCTAATTCAGTCGACGAAATCAGGGGTTGGTTTATTTTTGCATATAGACGGTTTTCTGCTAAATAGTCAAGGGACGACTTTTAAACTTCTGAAATGGTGCGATTAATAATCTCGGTATAAATTTGGCCAGAAGTAATCTAAGGAAATGTGCCATGAGGCAGCAGAGAAGAAGGAGGAGAACCAACAGAAGTCTGGTACCACGGTGGAGACAAAGACAGAGCAGAATATACGAAGAATGTCCTCTACCTCAGAATTTATCGGGCAAACGTGTTTTCATCTTCAAAGAATCCAACATACTGAATTTGTCGAGCTTCGGTTTCCGAACAGCTTTTCCAATGTCAGACATCAAAATGTGCGGTGAGATCTAAAGTGTTAGACGCGCCTCAGATCCGCGCCGCCGCTGAACGCAGACGGCCGCTCGTGTCTGTTGTTGAGATTACAACATGTTAATCACAAAGCAGCTTCTCACAATCAGTGTGCCAGCGCGTCACACCAGGAACACACACACACACACACACACACACACACACCGTCATGTCACAGAGTTTATTCACGCTCTGATTGGTGCTCAAGAGTCTTCTGCCTAATTCTATTTCCTTTCACAATCAGATGAATCAGATTTTGGTTACAGCCAGACCGTTATGAATGATGTGGGCCGGCTTTACATCTGACAGTAATAACCCAGCGCCATCTGAACGTGATTTAGCCTAGCGTGTTATCCACATTGGTTTTGGCTCAGCTGTCGGCCCCCTGACTGCCGAAGGGGGAAATTTCCAACACGGCACACCCGAGTATGCCGAGAATGCTGAAGGAGGAAATGTTTTTTTTTCCCTGTCCGGCGCAGCACGTAGCGAATGCTCTTATAAATCACTTCAATATTGCTGAAGTAGTTACGGGATTGTTTCTCATTTCTTCCAGGCGCGTCCCCCCCAAAAAAAGTCAGGTGTCGATCGAGGCAGTTTGGCATCTTTTGAAAATCTCACATTCCGAGCGGGATCGAGGGACCAATCGGGGAGACGTTCAAGTACGTCACGGTCAAATCTAAACGCGTCCAAATGCAAGGTGCAGTGCGATGTGTTGCGTCCAGCGCAGGATGCAGGTCAGCGACTGAAAGCAAAGCCCCAATCAGCGACTTCAGCTGCTCCGACATCGCCACAGCTGGACAGCCTGTCAACCACTCTGACATGTATCTGAATGAATGAATGGCTCTAATCATAAAGTCTGTGTGTGTGTGTGTGTGTGTGTGTGTGTTCTCCCAGATGGCACCCAGAGGATTTGCACTGATAGTTCCCTCTCCAGGAATTAGACCGCCGGGTTTAGTTGTCATCAAAGGCTTTCGACGTAACAACCAAATCCAATCACCTGTGTCGCTCTGGGCGTGGATCCAGATCCTCAAGAAGAAAAGAAGAAAAAAAACACGAGCGCCACACCACCACCAAACCGCCAGACCAACCACAGCGGCAGAAACTATCCAATACCCTCGATAGAAATGCCCCCAATGAGACTTTGTGGTGACCCAACGACACCACTCGACCTCTCTGGAAATATTAAACAGCGACACCAACACTTCACCGCGGCGCCAGCTTGACGTCAGGGTCACAGAACTCTTTTATTCTTTCCTTTGTCATTGCCTGCTCTGTCCTACATCATCTGGCATCGTCTTAATGGTCGCATGTCGGGAATGACAGTCCAGCCTCTGGGGTCTGGAGATGTGGGGGGGGGGGGGGGGGGGGCAGCACTCAATTACAGCATTCAAATCTCCACCGAGCTGTCCGAGGTCATCGGCGTGACATGGCGACGGCGGCCGGCTTCCTTGACCGGTGCTCGCCAAGCGTTTCACCCTCCCTTCACTCTCCTTTGATGAACTGGATTGGAATCGTCCAGCACCATCTCACACACTTATTCTAGCTACACACACATAACACACACACACACACACATAACACACTTGCGCAACATAAGAAAAGGGAAACTTACCACAGGGACAGATGGTCCAGGCCGAGCAGACTCAGATGTTGTATTTTGGCAAGAAATGAAGCCCGGGTCCTTGGAAGTGCTGCGGTGGTACTTTGTGAACGCGGCAGGTTGCTGATGAGATTAGCGGCTGGTAGGTGGTCGGCTGCTCAACGGGGAGTGAAGCCGCCTCCACTGCGGGTCTTCTCCTCGCTCTCACGCTCACTCTCTCTCCTCTTTGTGCGTTGCGGGTTCTTCTGATGTTGAAGGAGAGCAGCAGGTGTCGTCGTTACAGGCAGGGACTTCTGTCTCCTGCTCGGTTCTTCACCAGGTTTCTGCGCAAATCCTCCTCCAGAGCACAAAAAAACCACCACAGAAACAAGGCAAGTCTGTGATGAGGTGTGGGTTGATTCCTCTCGAAGGAACCTGCAGAGTTCTCCCAGGAGGAAATCGCTGAGACAGCCGCGCCGGATTGAAGGTCTCGTGCTCAAAACAATGTCTTTATCGCCCAGGCGTTTGAGGTCCTCTGAGGTGGCTTTTTCTCACCCGGTGTTGAACCAGAGCTGTCCAGACCCTCTCTCGTACAGGTCACTGCCCACTTCCCCTCCCTGTCACTGTGGTCGGTTTCCGTTGCACCCTGCTACCGCTCCTTTTCCTGTCCTGGAAAGGAGGTGGGGGTGGTGGGGGAGGTATGTGGTGGGGTGGGGGATTGGTGGAATGACGGACGAGGAAAACAAAAAAATGAGAGAGGCAGAGGCGGCGAGAGAGGGAGCGCGTATGTCAGAAGGGCTGAGAGACGCTCGGCGAGGCAGAGCAGGCAGCCGGCTCATGTTCATGGAGCAGATGGAGTGAGTGTGTGAGGGAGGAGAAGGGAGGGAGGGAGGGTGGAGAGGAAGGTGAGGGAGGCGTCGCTCCTTCTCTGGGAGGGGGAGAGGCGCAGATTGAGAGGGGCGAGGAGGTGGAGGGGGTTTATTATTCATGTGTTTGAGATAAGGATTAAGTTAAACAGGTTATTGGGGATAATCCAGAGAGATTTCCCCTCATGAGGCTAGTAAATATTTCACACACACACACACTTTATCCATCTCTTCTCTTCGGGGGGAGTTGATCAGTAATTCTGCGGATTAGACGGGAAAGTCAACGCGTGTATTTTTACATGAAACCTCTCCTGTCTGCTGTCACCGCCTCCCCCGTTATCCTCCCCCCGATATCCTCCCTCCCTCTCTGTTCGCTTGCAGCCTGAGTTCCCAACTACTATATTTTTGTCACATCTGGGAGCCGCCCGTCATCAACATGACAGACATCTACACTCGCTTTGAATCCTCCTCCCTCATTGCAGATGTGAAGCTTCTCTCAACAGCAACGAAAGGTATTTGTTTCTGATTGAAGCACCTTTAACGTGAAGGAAAGCGTTTGACCACTGATTCAAACCAGCGATCTGTCATCATGAGGTCGTCACGCCGCCGCTGCTTTCACGCTGGAGAAACAGTCTCTTCCAGCCGCTCGGTTGTGTGAGAAAATGCAAATTGTATTACTTCCCTTTTTTTTTTGTTTCTTCTCCCCGGTGAACCACAAGTGTCATCTGATGTTTTTTAAAATAAAATAACTCATGTCTAACTTTAGGGGAGAACTTTCTCCCTGAAGGTGCGTGTGTGTGTGTGTGTGTGTGTGTTTAGACAGATAAGGAACAGACTGATTTGATGACAGTTACACACCAGAGAGATATAAAAAGCCTGAAGGAAAGAGTCTGGAAGTGTATTTTCTTTTATGAACTTAATAAACAGCGACGTGTGCATCTGTGTTCACACTAATATTCTACATGCAACTTAACTTGAGGTATTGATGGTTTTTCAACGCTGTGCCTCTGAGTCTGATCGCACTGAACGGGACGAGAGGAAGAAGAGAGGAAATGACACTTTGCCCTCGTGTCGTCTGTCAGTTTTCTTTCTACGTAGACGAGAGTGATGGTTTGTTCCACAAACGAAACAACTAAAACGTCACAAATATGATGGGGGAACTTGTTTACGCGTCCCTGTTTCCTCTCCTCCTCTGAGGCTCTCCGTCATTCTGTCTTCTCAAAAAAAAAAAAAAAAATCCTCATGCTCTTGGCCTACTTTTTCTTTCACTTAAAAAAAAGAAAAAGAAAAACTCTTTTGCACTAAAAATTGCATCCTCGCTGTGCTCATGACATGTAAGGAGAACTTCCCCCCCACTGCTGGTTTGACTGGAAGACGACCACTGGGAGCAGAACATCAAGGACGGAGAGGCAGACTGTGAGGGAGGCGAAGAGGCCGCCTCCGTCATTAACACCTGCAAAGCGCTCATATGTATTTTTAGAGGCACATTCAGAAGACAACAAAGTAGTGCAAACAGCAACACATCCGAATCAGAAGTCTGCTATTGAGCAGCGAAGGTGTTGGTCTTTCCTCAGCGTGGCGTCGGGTCCAAACCGTCAGCCGTCGATGGTCTCCGGTGCAGCCTGGCGCTTGCAGATAACAGTCTGCAGTTGTGAAATCTGACCTTCCGTCCGTACCGCGGACTGCTGACGTGCTTTGAGCTTTAAAGAGGCACAGACGTGCTGCTCGTAGTTTTACTGTATCTCTGCTGGACTAATGAAAGAAAACACTACACAGTCAAATGCATCGGTCCTGCGCCGATAATCCTTTATCTGCTCAGAGAGACAGAGGACGAAGAATATCAAGAAAAGCTGCAGCTTTGAAAGTCTGACTTTAGTTCCCTTTCCATCCGAATCTCCCACTCGTATCTGGTGAAGTGGACGATTACACGTCTTGGGGCTGGAATGAGTCTTTTCTTGCCACAGTTTGGCCCCTGTTGCATCATCGGGTGGAGGATTTGGGTGGTGAACAGGGCCTGGCTGCGACACACAGAGAGTATTGACAAGTGAAGTGAGAGTTTAAAGGCAAGTCATCACGTGACAAAAGCAGAGATACGGTTGGAAAACTGTGAAGTGGTTCCAAAGTCCTCCTCGTGTCCTTGACAAATCACTTCATCCAAAGCACCATGAACATCTACCGCTTATTCAGCGTGCGTCTTTTCAATGTAATGAACTTTTAAAACACTAAAAGTTACGAAAAGGAAGGAAAATGCCAAAAACCGAATTACACATTTCAAAAGGAATGTAAAAGAAAGGAAGAATTTGCACTGAAAAATGTGGAGAAGTTAATTAAAGCAAGACAAAAATGGGAGCAGTTCTCGTTGCGTGCACTCCTCCCAACTTCAGCTTTATGAGCACAGATCTGGTGCAGAAAAAGGAGGCGCAGGAGTGGAGGAGTTGGCAGTAATTCTTTCCACAGATGTGTTGGAAGTTCGCCTTTCCTTTAACTATGATGCTCTTCAGTTGAATTCCCCTTGCTGAGAGTTTATTTTTAGGTCTAAATGTTGTGCAAACTGCATTTTTATGACCTTCATGTTGATGACCCCCCCCCGGCAAGGGACGGCAGTTGTGTTGCATTCTGGGTAATTGTGGTACAACCGGCGTATCAGTGAACGGTTCCTTGAGAAAATGTTGCAGTGAAGAAATGTGAGTTGGGCACATTTCCATCAACAGGTTTGGAGCGAATAAAAGTGTGTCAGAACGAAGGACTAAATGTCGGCTATCCGACGGGTTTCCTGCCGGCTTGAGAAGACGTTTAAGAGCTGAATGATTGTAAGGCACCAGTCATACCACTTCCACGTTAGCTAACTTATTCGGTTAAGTCTTTACCTCAAACTTTTTGCACGATTGAGGAAGAATTGTTCCGTCTCCGTAAATCTTTTCCAATGCAACCTGCAAACAAATGTACATACATTCAGTCCCAATATCATGAAAGGTTTTCTATTGTCGGTCATTGTGTTTGTTCCTCTTCTTTAAATCAAATTCCTATGCATCTTTTAAAGTTTGTATCACCTCGAGTCATGTCGCAATTCTACTTCTTCACAAATGTTGAAGTTAATGACCAAAAGGAGCTGGTCGCGTAAATGCTTTCGCTGGCGTTCAACATTCTATTCATCCAGATTTTGTCGCAGATCAGACTGCTGGAATCTCACATGAAGCAGCTTGACTGCCAACAATGTTTACAGGCCTGTTATTGCACAAACAAATCACTGAATAAATTCAGCATTATTCAGTCCTGATTGATTAGTCGCGCTGCAACACGTTTGTTAATCACCTCAATATGTAAAAGTCAGTCACTAAATTCCCTCACTGCGTTGTTGCGTCAGAGGCTCCATTCACAGTGAAAAGATGCAATTCTTTGGATCACACCTACTTGGATTAAATATCAAATTCAGCAGATTCATTTAAATAGACACCTTCCATCCACGTTATCAAAGGAGCCATGTTGGTGCTGTTTTGCAAACGAAAAAACGTCCCAGTGGTTCCATCCTTCCCCAGACCGCCGTCTAGATCGCTTCACAATGCTCTGGGTTTGTGCTTTTGGGAAATGTTGGAAACGTACGCAGCACCGGTAGAATAAAATTGATTTCAGTTATACACGTCGTGCAAATTAAGGATGTAGCAGAATTATGTTGTGTGAGCTGTTAATGTTTTGTTCAAACAATGAGGCAGTTTAAACCCAGAATCAAACAGCTCTGCACCTTAATCTCCTCCTTCTGTTTAGCTACAGTTTATTGTTTGGTGCATTTAGTTAATGAAGAATAAAGTTCCCTTTATAAAGTTCAGAGCGTGTTGTGTTCTTCGTTTTTTGCATCAGTCTATAAATAAAACCAAATGTTGTGAAGCAGGTGGCTCAGCAGCTGCTGTTTTGCATCCACTACGTTATTTTTTATTTATAGTGAAATTCTGACGGGCTCAACGGTTTTATTACGTGGAAAACGAGCCGCGGAGAACAAAGGGGAAAAAAAAGCCAAATTCTTCTGTGACCTCAGAAAAAAAAAAAAGACGTAAACGTCATTTCAGTTTTTAACAGCTCGAATTATTACGACAGATCCAGAGAGATGTGACATTAACCCCTGCTGTGATACTAGTGTGAATATGCAATGCTTGCTTACGTGTGTGTGTGTGTGTGTGTGTGTGTGTGTGTGTGTGTGTGTGTGTGTGTGTGTGTGTGTGTGTAAATACACGGAGATCCCTGAGGACAAATGACGAGGAGATGATATCTTGTGATGTGTGCCCTTTAAAAATAGCAGGGTCGCTGTCAACATTACTCGGCTCTGGATGAGCTTTTCTGTTTCTGCGTGTGTGTGTGTGTCTGTGTCCGCATGTGTGTGTGTTTTGCTGTATTTCTCTGTTTTTTTTGTGTGCGCGTAGACAAGCAGCAGCCATTAAGATCTGTCGTCACGCATGACCGAGTTCTTCATGACCTGTGTGTGTCTGTGTGTGTGTGTGTGTGTGAGCGTGTGTGTGTGTGTGTGTGTGTGTGTGTGTGTGTGTCCGCCACAGAGAGGTATGAGAAGCATTAACCAGAGCTCCTATGACCTGAATGTACCTTGTTAATGTGAAATGCCGCCTCAGGCTGAGAGAGGGGGAGAGAGAGGGGGGAGAGAGAGGGAGGGGAGAGAGAGAGAGGGAGGGAGATGGAGAAAGGGGGGAGAGAGAGGGAGGGGGGAGAGAGAGGGGGAGGGACGGGGGTTGGTAGGTTAACACAAGTGGAAGATGATGAAACAAAGGATCAGTATACAAATAATATTATGAGCATTTATCTTAACGGTGTATAAAACACGCATTCCTGTTCCTCTTATTAGGACTCGACGGCCGTCTCAGTCGCCTCCTCTTTCTTCTGCCCTCTTGTGTTCTTGTGTGTGTTTGTGGCGCCTGAGGGTTCTTCCGCCACGCTTGCAGGCAGCGCCGCCCCGCCTGCACACGAG